GTGTCGGAAAACCTTCTGATTTATTCGTGTACGCACCAGACGAAAAAACAAAAAATATCGTGTATCCACGAGCACTCCAATAAATAAATAGAATTGAAACAACACTTTGAAATGTTTTCCCGATGAAAACGAATAATAATAATAAGTTTCAATAAAAATGATAAAATGAAAATTTAATTTTATCATAACGAGTTTGCTTGAATTTCGTTTCTTCTGAGATCGCAGCAATGCGCGACGGATAAGCTAGTAACCTATAAAGTTCATCAGTATTTTAATTTAGAATGGAGTAAGATAGATAATAACCTGTCATGACTCTTATTAACAGGAAAGTATGATATACAGGGGCAAGACACTACTACAATCAAAAGCATTGTACATCGAGATCTAAAAATTTGCAGTCCGACATTGTGACGATGTTACAATAAATAATTGCTCTTTTATTTAATATAATCCGTAGTAACAATATAATGATACAAGGGTCCTCGACATTTGGCTAAGTTTAATACATATTTTGATACTTCTAAATCATTTTTCAAGTGAAGTTTAAATGAAAATTAAAATCTCAAGCTCAAAGATAGCAAATAATATTTGAAAATATTTTATTAAGTAATTAACACATGTGAAAAAGTTTTACTTACCTCTGTCAATTGATTAACACTTCTTTCAAGGTTTTGAAACTATTGGGATAAAGAATAAAATGCTTAAGAGTAGGAGTTTTAAATTTAAAAAAATATACATATTAGAGAGGTTGCGGCCGACGTTTTCAACGCGAAAACGTGTACGTCGGACGTTCAGCCCCGCCTTCCCGTAAGCCTAGACGTTTGACAATGGCGTTTGGAACGTCGATCATGATTCCACTGACGTTACAAACGCCATTGTCAAACTTCTAGGCCTACAAGAAGGTGGCGCTGAACGTCCGACGTACACGTTTTCGCGTTGAAAATGTCGGTCGCAACCTCTCTATTTATGTACTGTACAAGTGTATAAGCAAATTAACAATACGTATCATTGATTTATATCTAATAAAGTAAAGTTTATCAGATATTAAATACAATTTCGAATGTTAAAAACGATTTGATTTATAAAAAAATTTAAATATCTTACTCTCTGTCTTATTTGGCTTCTACTCATTTGTTGACTTCTGAGCGTATTTAACTAAAAGAAAAGTATAAAATACATTAGATATGACTATAGANGACACATAACAAGGGACAATATACATATTTAGGAAATAATAGTAATATAATTTACGTTAGGATAAGATAGGATTGATGTAAGAAGGCAACGCAACACATGGAGATGGTGCCTCCAGGAAGAATTTCCTATGAGAAACTGTCTGCTATTTAAGTGTTAGACACGTGAAGAAAATTCATAACTAACACTTAAATAGGTGTAAAACATGAAGGTAATTAACAATGTGTTCAAAAGCCAATCGTAGTTGATCCTCTATGATGATTCCATTTGCAATGTGATAATGTCTTTCAAGAATAACAAATTTTCAATATGTTCTCGATAAACCACACTTTTTAAATGCTCCACAAATAAAAATCACACGAATACAAAGCACCAAGAGTGACATAGTGGTTGGTTTTGGAACTTTTTTTAAGGAAATGTCTTCCGCATGTCCTGAAATATCACCACACCAAATTTGGTTGCGTATGCAATGCTGAATATCTTTCTAGACATCGTCAAATAGAAGTACAGTACTTTAGTTATGTTTACTCGAATTACATATACTGTACAAGTTTCAGAAATGTGTGTCTAAATTTCACATGCTTATAGAGGAGGAAAATCTGTAAATATGAAGCTTAATCAGAGTTATTAACAAATGATTTTAAGATATTATTTCAACGGAATTACTACGGTAATCATTTCTAGTTAAAGGAAACAATAACGAACAGTAAAAGTCTATGAGTTCGCGGTAGTTAGAGAAGAAATTCTTGCGGGGTGAGGTGCCTGCGTGGGTCTCTGCTTCTCAATAGTTATTATTATTACTTTTTTCAATCCACGTAATTCATAGTATTTTAAAAGCTAAGGGAGTTAATACTCCTTCTCTTTGTGAAAATTTAGTCTGTCTCTTTAGAAGCGCATGGAACTAGGGAACACAGTTTCCGCTTCCCGACATGAAGTACCAATCTGAATCTGTGTCGAGATCTTTTAGATTCTGTAATTTGTCCTGGGAGTCAAACATTATTGGCACATTACCTGAAGCCGGATGATACCAACAACTTGGGTCGTCTGCGACTTGGTGAGATTCAACAATTTACTCAAACTGAGTAAACTGTTTGAGTAAACTGAGTTAACTGAGTCTCAAGAATTCGATGTCGTTTCATCTTTGTGCCTTTTTGACGCCGGTAAATCGACACTGTTTATTTCGGACTGTAGAAATATCATCAATTAACTCCCGATCCTCACATTTTTATTTAGGTATACTCCTCTATAAACCTGTGAAATTTGTCCAAACATTTCTAAAATACTCTGTATACACGTATGTATGTGTGTGTATACTGTATATAAACATACATATAAGTTTAAATGAATATATTTATATAATAGACTTTTATGTAATGCTGGTCCTTATTTAGGTGTTACTAACGTGAAGAAAAGCCGAAAAACTCCATGTGGCCATGTCCATACCCACGACTAACTACCAGAGTTCGGTGGTTTTATCCACTCGGCCACTGGAGGGAACTTATTAGAATTAAGAAAGTAGCGTTCAGATATGAAAAAACCCAAGTTGTAAGATGTGGAAAATTAAATACTTATAGACTTTTCACAAGGTAACACTTTTGATTCACATAGACAAGTGATATATGTTGCCTGTTGCAGTAATGATATAGCACAAAATAGACACACAATATTATTGTTGCAGTAATTAAATAAATATAATATATATATTTTTTAAAAATTATACCTATTTTAAGAATTTAATTTAATTTAATATTTTTAAATTTTTGCCAATAGATGGCGCTATGGTAAACCCAGCAAATGGAACAAAGACAGAAATTAATTTATATATAGGAATGCAATCGATATTTTGGGGTGATATTCACGACATTATCAAAGTTAGATGTATGTGAAACATAGCTGTCAAATTTTGTAGCAATTGGTCGAACGGCCTAGGTGTGCATAGCGAACAAACAAATATCCTCCTTTATGTATACAGTAAAGTCCGTGTGCAATTTTAAAAATTTATAACTTTAATATTATTTGTGATAGAAAAAATCTGTAAAAAATAATAGAAAGATTAATGTACCTACTTTTAAGTAAAATTGTTTATTTACAAATGTTTGTAGAGATTGGAAGAAGTAGACCATTTTCTTGGCCTCCATGTTCGCTAGACTTGACTCCATTACATATTTTTATGGAGATATATGAAAACAATAGTGTATGCAACCAAACATCGATCGTTAGAAGACTTGAAAGCTAAAATAACTAATGTGATTTTAATCATCACTGTAAATCAATTGGCAAATGTTTTTAGAGAACTACAAAATCGTATTATCCTTTGTATTATTAATGATAGTGAACATGTGGAAACTTAATAACATACAATAAAACNTGTATTATTAATGATAGTGAACATGTGGAAACTTAATAACATACAATAAAACAATAAAAAATATATAGATTTTCTTATTTCAAATACATTCTAGATAATTTCTCAATCACAAATACTAATAAAGTTATAAATTTTTAAACTTGCACACGGACTTTATGGACATCCTATATAGATGATATATAAAAACAGTTAGGTTTTCACCCAGTATACGATAAACTTGGCCACGGAAGAAAAAGCTAATTAATTGAACTGTTGATTAAAACTATAACAAATTTTTAATCAATTAAGCTCATTTCGTATTCGACAAACAAGAGCAATGTTTGTCCAAAATAACTTGCTTTTAATCTGAAAAAAATTTAAAAAATGGAAAATAATTATATCATTTGATTTCAAGATATTTTGTATACCTTAAAAATAATTAATTCTATCCCGGGATTTCCCGGGATTCCGGGAAACAGTTCACTTTTATCCCGGGATCCCGGGACAAGCAAAAGACCGGGAAATGAGAAACCCTAAGTGGTACAAATTACAGTAGAGCCTCGATTATCCGACCCCCGATTAACCGACACTTCGGTTAACCGACCGTCCTATTCGGCAAATTTCAAATGTCCGCTTGTGATGTGGCACTACAATATTTGGCTATGTCTTGGCTACTTTAATATTATTTTTACGTGTTTTAGCTGACAACACTCATTCGACCATGAAAGGGAATCAGTATTTAAACGAGGCTTAATTTTCTAATTTTTAACAATAGCGACGATTATTATTTTTTAAAAAAATTTGATAGGCTTAACATCGATGAAAATTCAACGCGAGGTAGGTTAATAGCGATATACGAATATACTAATTACATGGGATATAATAATATACTACACTAATAATGGATTTTTTCATACTTTTCGGTTATTCGACTTTTCAATTATCCGACCAGCCCCAGTCACCAATTGAGTCGGATCATCGAGGGTCTACTATACTACTACTCACGTGGCATAAAATTTATGAGGATTATACTTCAAGGATTATATTGCGTGACGACTTTTTATGATCGTTTCCTGAGTAATGTCCGCTCGGAAAGGTCGTGCGATTGTTTTATACCCATATAGCGTGGGAATTTGGTCTCGTGACTACCTGTTGGCAGTTTTGACACCTGCAAATATGTTATAAGCGGACAAGGAACTTAAAACAAGTTTGACTCATGGGCTCTTATTTCTTTTCTTTGGTTTTAGATAGTTTTTGTGGATGTCGTTAAGTAACAACTTTTTGACGATTAACAATTGATTGTTTAATATATGTCTGAATCGTTTTGCCGTCAATAAGAGAGGAAAGGAACTTGTTGTGAAAAACTCCTCTTTAACACGAATATCTTAGTTGATTGTTTACTGTTAAAACGAACACCTGCTCGTTTGTTTTCTAATTACTGTGGGAACCGATGAGTTTATAAATTACAGTAGAGCGTCGTTTATCCGAATCAATTGGGGGACTGGGGTTGTTCGGATATCTTATTTTTCGGATAACCGATTATGTATAAAAAATACATTAACCTATCTTGGGTTGAAATTTTTCTTCGTTGCGTGTCGCTTTGCGTTGAATTTTCGTCGATGTTAAGCCTAACGTAAACTTTTTAAAATAATAATCGTGGCTATTGTATCGTTAAAAATTATTTGTTTATTTTGTACAGTACAAACAAAATAAATATATTGAAAAATATAAAAACAATAAAAAATTATACTTCAGAAGTTAATTTAGTATCGAAAATGTAAAATATTTGAGAAGCTCAAGACATAGCCAAAGATTGCAGCGCCACAGCACTGGCGAAAATTTAAATTTGCCAACTGGAATTCTTTCGGATAACCGGCGTTTCGGGTAAACGACGCTCTAATGTAATGCGTTTTTTGTTAAAATTTTACAAGAGAATTGCTCTCGGATCCTCACAAAGACATATATGTTTCAAACATCCACAACATAGCAGTAGGCCTCCACCTTCATTATCTGACCATCCAGCCGTGTGGTCAAGATGGTGTCCTACTAGTCAGTGGCGTAGCGTGGGTGTCAGCCGACCGGGGGGAGGAAAATTTCGCCCCCCTTATTTAGGTATCTCAATTTAAAAGACTAAAATTCAGTTTCGTCACAGAATAAGTAATGAAAAATTCCGTGCTAGTGTTGCCACCTTATTAAAATCGCTGATCCAGACGGCAGGTGAGGTTTGTTCGAATAGAAGTTCCTGACGCATGCTATGTCATTTTGCAATGCGAAGAATAAAGTGCAGTACATACTGGTTCTAAATCAGTTACAGTTAGCGACTAGGGAGAGTTAGATATGAGTAACGCAAGTGACCTAGCTCTATTGGATTTTGGAGGTGTATGTAATTACGAATGAATCGTACAAACAAAAACAAAAAAGATAAAGGTCAACAGGTTGCGCACGATATCTCCGGAGGCAAGTCGATTCCCGGACTATCCGGATGGATGATAACACTATTCCGTGCTCATTTCAATCGGTCCGAGTCGTAGGTGGACGAAAATATGAAATAAGATGGTTCAAATTCTTACAATTATTATTTATTGTGAAATTTTGCCGCCCCCTAAAAAGTGCCGTTCGGAGATGACCGCCTCTGCCGCCCCACTACGCTACGCTACTGCTACTAGTCCGGTTGACCTTGCATCGAATCCGGACGAGTCGAACATTTCCCAGAAATTTTTTATGGTGTTCAGTCCGGATATATCGGGTCCCGTTTTTCACCACCCGGCCGTCCTATTGTGGGTTTGGCTGAACCCATAATGTCTTTTCTGTAAGAAGCCTTCTTAGTGCCTACAGGGCTGAAAGAGTTTAAAAAACACTCACAACACGCTAAACTGATAAAATTTGTAAACACTCGAAATATTTTTATTGTGCCAGTATTCTTTACTTACATCATACGTATTGCAGTTATATATTCGTTGTTTTCGTCTAAGTGAATATTACTAACATTTAAACTATAGTACAAGTTTTTTGTTTTTCAAAATGTCTAACAATTTTCTTACTGATATTTGAAGAATGCAGTTTTCAATCCATTATGAAAAATTGCATGTCTGCTACTCTAAGTAATATATTAATTATAATACTAACATATAAGTAGATATTAATTTTCATAATTAAAATAATAATATTGCATAAATTAAGCAAAAAATGTCTAGAATTCGGGTTGTTCTATACCAGTTGCATAACTTTCCTGGCAACATTTAGCAGCGTCATCTGTTATGATTTTTTATTTTAGAATTTTTTAATATTTTTAACTATTATAAAGTGGCAAAATGCTTAAGTTTGAGGGTAGGAATATGCTTTATAAAATATTTTAAATGCGAGTAACGAATAAAATCGTCAATACGTCCCACCCAACTAGAGGTATGTACCTTTATCTTTCCAACCCCTCGACCTTTAATCACAAAAATTTATTAGCATCAATTCCCCTAATACACAAACTTCCCTGCAAAGTTTCTGAGATTTTTCGATGAAAGTAGTTTCGATATTAAGCTTCGAAGAGGTGAACAAAATCAGGCCACATACATACACATATACATACATGCATGCAAACTAACGAATAGAAGTTATTTTGAATTTTGAATTCTCGATGTGTCAGCGTACCTTAAGTTCAAAAATATAAAAATTTCCGGGGTATTTGATTATAGAAATCACTGAAGACACTAGTTTTATCGATGGTGATATGTTAAAAGACATTACGAATTTCTCGCGTAGCTCTCGTATACAGTTTTCACAACGTAAACTTGAGTGACGAAGAAACAGAACCACTGAAACAGACGAGATAAAACATGAATTTATGTAATTTTCTATTTACAATATCTTAAATATATTTACCTTTAATGTGGTTATTGGTGTTATTGGATAACAGTCGAGAAAACGAAATGTCAATTCTGATTCTTCTAACTGGCTTAACATGTTATACAACTGAAATAAACAATAGTTAATAAATATCGGTAAGGAAAACATACATAATTACCATAAACTTACCATAGTGATGTCTGGTTTACTTTTATGGCGAAAGTGAAGATTATATATTCTTGAATATATATTAATTTTCTGTTTAAAAAATAAATAGCATTCTTAATATTATTTGAGATTAACTATACCTATAACACTATACTTATGGAACTCAAAATTATATGTAAACACATTGTTTGTGGCACTGATTTATTATGGCACGGGTGCTACAAACACAGTGTTTACACGTGATTTTGAGTTATATAAGTGTAGTGTTATAGGTATAGTCAACCACAAAATACAGTATTACAATTCGTTTATAATTAGTGATTATGGCATTCACGGAAATTGGCACACGAGTGAAGTGAGTAGGCTAATTTCCATGAATGCCATAATCGCCTATATTATAAACTAATTGCATAATATACTATTATGTGCAACTATAATTGTAAAATGGAAAATTTCTAAAATTTGTGCAAATGATTGGGACCATATAAATTCAAAATAATTAACAATAAACTAATAAAGAATAATTTTACGTAGATACAATTCATAAATAAATTACTATATATTAAACGATTAACTAGTGACAAACCGTAAGTTCAATGGTAATAAATGAATATATTTTGCACAAACGGAATGCAAGACTATTCCGTTTGTGCATCTATTCGTTCGATATTTAAGTATATTATTAAACCAGCAAGTAGACCTGGCGTTGCTCGGGCAAAAGTAACGATAGCGAAGATTAAGATTATTACGTTATACTCAACCTTACCCGTTTTCACAGAATGAAAGGATTGGATCCCCCTGTTTCCGGACTAATTAGAGAATTTTTGGATGGGTCTAAAATTATGTTCGATTTCCTGCAAAAACGAAAAATCTTCTGGGAAATCTTTTAAGGGTAACTGGCCCCTATTCAGGCGTTAAAGATGTGCAGAAATCCCGGAAAACTCCACGTGGACAGCCTGACCTGGCAAAAGGAGAGAATTCAAAACCAATGCCAATGTTCAATGGTTTTATCCACTCTACAATTGGTAATTATTGTTTTAAATATGCATAATACGCCCACCAGCGGCCGAGTGAACAAAAACAGTAAACATTAGTATTGGGTCATGGGTTCGCGCCTCTCCAACGAGCTTTCCGCGTGTTTTCTTCACGTTAGTAACACCTAAATAGGAGACAATTTTCCATGACAGACTTTCTGGGAAGCATTTTCACCTCGGCAGACCGCCTATGTGTTCCGTTGCCATTGCGTGCAAGTATACGTAATACGTAAACTCTCTTTATACTTACCCTATTGGCAAGACTCGATAAGTAAAATAAATATGCAAAAAATGAACTAATAGCAAGAATGATTCCGAATTCTGCCAATACTTTTACTTCGTCAACACCACCGGAAGTTTTTAAAATGCTCATTCCTAAAGAAAGTTCAATGCAAATTAAAAAAATCATAATTAAAATGGTATATCGATTCTGAATGAAATTGCCAAAGTTCAAAATATCTTTCGAATTTTGTAAGCATTTCCATATCCGTTTTAATGGAAAAATGTCTCCGTTCGTGCTATACTCGTATAGACACAAAAATTGCATTTTCAACAATTCACAAATCAACATTAAAAAACACACGTGGGCAAAACCATTCGCACCCAAATACATTAAATTTATATTGTATGAAAGTAAACAAAAGGTATTTCTAATAGTCCATTTGTATTCGTTCAATGACAAGAAAAAAATTCCGTTCAGGAATGTGAAAAAGAAACTACTAGCAATTATCACATATATCCAAGCTGTCAAAACTACAGTTTGAATTTTTAGGAGTTTTGACAGTTGCACAGACCTGAACATGGGATCGTTTATCAATTCTCTGAGTGTTAATTCATACTTTTGGAAAATATTTCGATATTTTTTGGAATTCCACATTTCCAGACATTGAAAACTAAGTATGTTCAACATAAACAATAAAAATCTAATGCTGTTGGTATGATCTTTATAACTTGCCAAGAAATCGCAAAGACCCACAGCAATATTTTCATCTTTAATATACAGATCGATGGCATAGATTATACCCTTGATAAAGAATAACATTTTCACCATAAAGATATAGACTGATGTAAATTTACTTCTTTTTCTTTTGGAAAAGGAAATATCAGAACCAGAAATTCTCAAAATTAATAATAATGGTGAGAAAATGTATTCTGGTAAAAGTTGCTCCTCGTCCATTTTACGAAACGTTCCTTCTTCAGATACGTATGTTTAGAAAAAGCTTTAATGAGAATGCATTTAGTCTTATGTTGCATTATTGTAATACGTGCATTAGATAAGAGTATCTGTGAATTTTGAAATATCACTCAGTTTCTATGGCAATCTTTGTTTATCTTCACAATACGTTATAACAATCGATACTGTATAAAAATGTTCAGTGTCAAAAACTGAGATGAGTGAAATATGGTTGCAATTAGTAATTTTAATGAAGAAAATAAATTAAAAATTCTAAATATCTACCATTAGTAAATGTCGTACATAAATCATTCCAATTTGCATCGGATAAGTGTAGTTTTGCAATTAAAATTATGTATACTAATATACAAGTATTAATTACACAGTGGAACCTCGTTTAAGGAGTAATTCGAATAACGAACAAAACATATTGTAAAAAATTGAGTCGCATAACTAGCGATGTTTCACATAACGAGTGACAAGGAGAGGGAAAATCCCGGATTGAGCGCATTGTCCATCAGTCTGTGTTTAGCACTGGTTCAGCTAGCATCGCTGGTAATCACACATTTTTAAAAACTTGTGTTCACACATCTTACGTAAAAACATCGACGATCATAGCCCATTATATAATAAACACGCCATCTTGTACTAAATTAAATGACAAATTCGAAATTAAATTTTTAAAAAGGCTAAATTAAATATTAATTATTTATAATTGTTATATTTAACACGAGATGGCAGTATAACTGCCTACCTCTAGTCAAATTAATTAATTTGTGATATTTAATTATAGCCTTTACATAGCTTTAGAATTTGGCATATCGTTTGGCGTTTACATCAGACATATTATCTGTGATTTTTTTTTTTGTGTGTTCTGCAAATCGAAATCGCATTTCAGGTTTGTTTATTCCGTGCTAGAAGAAAAGATGAAGATGATTCACGCTTCATAACAATCTATATTGTGTAATTTTCTTTGAATAAATGTTATACATAAAATATTTGAGTATTTTTTCGGCATAAAACGCATTATCGTATTTTACATTAGTTTCTATGGTAAAAACTGTTTCACTTAACGAGTGTTTCGCATTACGGTGTTACGGGAAGATCTGGCCACACCAGAGAGAGAGGGGGGCATGCAAGACAGACGGCCCTGACTAATATATAAGAGTGGAGATTGCCCGGTCCAAGTAGGACCCCGAATAAAGCATTCAGAGTAAGTGTCTGTATTCCTGTCTCGCAGGGAGTCTTAAGTGCATCACAAAGGGCGTATAAAACACTAAGTAAACCACATAAAACAACGAGGAAAATTCTGGAATAAATCAGACTTGTTAAGCGAGGTTTCACTGCATTTAAATTTATAATTGTATGATATACAATAAAAAATTATTATAAAAAATAAATTTATTATAATCATAAAAATTTCATTCTTGATTTAATGTTATTTTTAAATATATTAATAGTACTTTAAACTTTGGGGTATATTTTTACCATAGAAATTTTTCATCGAATTTATCTAATTTTCTTTCATGAAGAACGTTACAAATACCACAAAGCAGATAATTTTTTCAATCAAAGTGTTTGTATTCTACATTCTAAGAAATGCGAGGGTTGTTAGTTTATAAGAAATATGATTGGTTGGTATTTTATATAAATTACATTTTTTTAACGGAGACAAATTTTTGTTACATAAACAAAAAACAAACTTTATTTTGTATTTACATATAACATGAAAGCGAGAGAACCTGTCAAATTTGAACCTTATGTTTATTTAGAATGATAAATCGCAGAAATTGTTTTTTTTTATTATGTGACTAGCTGCAAGGACCCGCTTCGCTGGGTTTTTATTTGTGGGCAAAAAGTAACGATAGTAAAGATTAAAGATAATTACATTATAGCCAATCTTACCCGTTTTCACAAAATGCAAGAATTAGGCCCCCGTTTCCAGACTAATTAGAGACCTGGTCCCGATTCTATTTCTGAACGTCTCCTGTTCACGTCCAGTCAAACGAACTATTAGAGAGGTTGCGGCCGACGTTTTCAACGTGAAAACGTGTACGTCGGACATTCAGCGCCGCCTTCCTGTAAGCCTAGACGTTTGACAATGGCGTTTGGAACGTCGATGATGATTCCACTGACGTTCCAAACGTTATTGTCAAACTTCTAGACCTACAGGAAGGTGGCGCTGAACGTCCAACGTACACGTTTTCGCGTTTAAAACTTCGGCCGCAACCTCTCTATTTTCAACGTTTCTGAAACGTTTACAATCGTTCTATAATCGAACCAATATTCGAATTTTATGTTCGAATTTAATTCGAATATTGTTCTAATTTGTTCGAACAAATTCGAACAAAACATTCGAAATAGAAAGCCACTTTCACCCTTATAGCTATCGTGACGCAACCCCCCTGGTGCACGAATGGAGACTTGGGCTACTACCACATACAAACACCATTCACGTGCGATGTGTAGTTTTGGCGGAAAAGTGAAATATAGGGACATACACGTCCATTTATATATATATATATATAGATTAATATATAATTATATGTACAGTACCTAATTTATATATAATTTATATATAATACTGTACAGACGATACTTAAACTCAACTTACCCGCCTAAACTCTCCGTAGCGTGGCGCTAGACGGCGGAAAATAGTTCGGCTGCTCGTCCGCGATGAAGAATTGGCGATGACGTTTTACCGCGTTTTACGCGCCCCGTTATATGAATACTGCCGCAATTTTTTCGCCGCGTCATAGGAATCTACGTTATTGGAACCCGCGTTATAGGGGGTCTACTGTATATTTAATTTGCCTTTATATGACCGGGATCGCGAACTGCCGTTCCCCCCATTTTCAAAACAATGGACCTGAGTATCGATTCGTCGTTACCCTGCTAAAAATCGATTTTAATAAACTTTATTGACAACAGATGCCAGTACTTGACAGTAGTGTGTTGACTACCATCTGTTTCACATATTTTTGTCCAGGTAGTGTTTTGTCGACTCAAGAATTTTTATTTAGCGATTTTTTTTCTTAATTTATATATATATTTTAATTATTTTTATGGCATATTTACGTAATAATATTCTAAAACACGTTCATTCATGCTAGAATAAGTTTATTCAGTTATAATAAGTAAATGTATTATAAATATTTAAATTGTGACCTTCAATTCTAATATTTTATATATATTTTTTACTTTTTATTTTTTAATTTAATTTAAAATATTAGCACATCGTAAATGTATTAATACTGGTTTATACATTTATCACAATAATTGATCTTTTTGTTCGAAATAAAATGAATAAAAATAATAGCAAAATAAAGGTTTGATTCCAAACAAAGGATATATTATAATCTGTGATAATTTTAAAATAAAAATCGTACATTCATAAATGTTGTATAGAATTGTACAGAACAATATTTCAAGTCGTTCTGGCTTAGTGCCAAGAACAAACTACTTAACTAGAGTATGTGAACTTTAACAAAATATTGCAAATTTTCACAGTTAGATGTCAGGTCTGATATATTATAATTTTTTTCTATTGAAGTTTATATTTAAATGTATTTAAAAATATCGTATTTATAACTACAGACATTAATAAATGTAACGTAATTTTTGTCATATGAATATAACGATAAATTGATTTTTGGTGAATTTTTAAAATAATTTAACCTGTCTGACCTATACTGCCCTTTGCCCTTTTACAAAATACACGTAAACAGAGGGGCGTGGCAAACGGTAATGAAAGTTGTAATTTTTCGTAATGTGTTTTATAGAAACAATTAAATAATGTAAAACATTGTATAATGTTGCAATGTTTATATTACTAGGTATATTTAAATCGGAATTGATGAGGGGTGTATTTGTACCCGAAATGCATATTATGTAATTAATAACGTATATTTTTACTATTGGCCTAAAAAATTCCTGTATGGTAAGTTCATAATAAATGCAAATTTATGCTAAATCGAAATATCGAAAATGATAGAACAATAAGTATTACAAAAATAATATACTAGACTAAATTAGTACAGTAGTACTAATTATAAAAAGCATAAATCTGAAGGTCATGGCATGTTCTTTAAAACTCGTAGAAAGGACACAAAGAACCAGTGCAAAGTTATCGTCTTCAGTGTAAAAACTGATAAAGACTGAAATAAGTCTCAGCTTTAATATAGAATAACAGTTCTACCACGAAAACCTAGGTGGATAAATTTACTTATTATTCTTATAAAAAAGAAAAAGTTTAAAACCGGAAGTCCTCAATTTAAAAAATCGATCTAAACGTAACAAGTTTCTTTGATGTTACCGACAACGAGGAACCATATTTTTATTACGTATTTATTTTCTCAGCTTTTATCTATAACAGAGGGAAAGTAATCGTATGATTATCGATCAACAAATGATCCATTAGATTTCTACATTGTTTTAACTCCAGGGACCTTGAAACGTCGAGAAATACAAAACAAAATGAGCAACGAGTTGCTAAACTTTCCCGGCAACATTTAAAGTTTTGGTGGCGCCATCTGTTAACATATTTTATTTTTAAAATGTTTATATTCTTACCTATTATAAAATGACAAAAAGCTTAATTTTGAAAGTAGGGATGAGTTTCATTTAAAAAAATTAAATGCTAATATTAAACTAGTAAAATCGTTATTAACTTTGACCCTACTGGAGATCCACACGGCCCTCATTATCTCCTCATCCCTCGACCTTTAATCACCAAAATTTAACAGCATTAATGCTCACAATAAACAAATCTCTCTACAAATTTTATAAATTATGGATAGTTATTAGGCTTTAAACACAATCGTGCCACACACACTAACATTGTTTTTAGGGTCATTTTTTGCCAGATCGCCATACTTACCCTCTGTTATAGCAGCCGGGAATGTAAAAAATAATGATAATCTGGTCCTTTTCTGTATGTATGGATGTTAATGTTTGTGTACGTTTTACAGTTACGATTATATTTCTCACTTTTAAGTTTAGTA